AAGGTCTTCCGCCCCCAGCCTCGAACTCTGGCGTCCTCAAGTATTATTTTTGCAAAATTGTTTTTTCGAAAATTTTTTCTAATGCACAAACAAGCTTTTTCCGAAAAAAATAAATTTTTCGACAACACCCGAAATTTTTTTTTTGGAAAATTTTTTGGAAAAAATGATCTTTGAAAGATCTTTTCTCCAACAAAATTGTGGGGTGTTTTCGAAAAAATTTATTTTTGCTCAAAGAGTCTGTTTCTACGAAAAAAAACTTTTCAAAAAAAAGATCTTTCAAAGATCTTTCATAAATCTTTGAGAGATCTTTGAAGGAGGTTTCGAACAGGTTTTCATGTATTTTCCGGGGGGAAACGGTGAGTTCCTTGCCTGTTTCCGGCGAGTTCCGCTAGGTTCCGAGTTTTTTCCCGTTGATTTCCGGTTGCGGGAAATTAGCGGAACATTCCGTTTCCGGGTACGAGAAATTGCCGGCCGGAATACTGCTTCCATGTTCCGGGTATTTTTCTGGCCGAAAAGTACATCGTTTCCGGCCGATTCCTGAAGGATCCGGAGACCGGAATCGTTGACCTGGGATTTCGTAATCAAATGGCTACTATACACTTCAGTCTTTATATTATCTAAAATTTATCCTTTTAGAGTTTTGCTCTTCGAACTATTAATTCGATTTCCATGCCAATTCCGTCGACAAAAATGAAAAAAAACTTTTCGATTAGTTAGATTATTGGTATTGTTCTTGGATCACTGATTTTAGACGCTTGTTTTATGAATCTTGAATTACTTCGTGAATATATTGAAAATATTACATAAAAGTACAAAGAGAGTACATTCTCACAACTCGAAAATGTCTGAACTATCACTTAAATATACGTATATAGTCGAAATTATAATCAGTATTAATCGATTATGAGAACCTTCTAATCGATTGATATCTATTAATATCTTGATTTGTTTCGCAAAAATCGGATTAAAACCTTTCTATTGTGAACATCGTCAGGATCATTGAAAAGTGTTCACTATACGAAGGTGTTCACTTTAGAGAGTTGAAACATGATTTGCTGGGAAATGAAGAGAAGGTTCCAGAAACCCCGCTTCTATATTAATCATAGATAAATACCTGGTTATTTATCTTTTTGTTCATCTGTTTTCATCTGAGTGATTTGAACTGAAAGACTTTTCAAATACAATACAAAATTTAATTATCTTTAAAAAGAATTTTCTAATATTGTTTGTCTTTTTGCTGTTGAACTAGTTAATTTTGTGCCTTGTTATACAAATAATATGAAATGAGTATTTATAAGTTTTTCAAGGAAAAATATACGATCATTCGTTTCATTCATATCAAACAGAATTCTGTCGTTAATATTTCGAGTATACAGTCGATCATGAATCACACGATTTAAATTCTACCTTGCTGTATGATACGTTTATAGCCTATATATAAATAGGGCACAAGCCAGTATTGAAGAGCGAAAGAAAATTTGTTTCTCTTATTCTTTCTCATATCATTATAAAATATATTCACTTAAAGACTTACCTATATGAAATATGAATACATTCTCTTCTCTATGTAAATGGGTACTTTTTTCTGCGGTAGTAGCGTTTATTCCTCATCCAGCAATTCGATTTGGTGGTCAAGCTGGAAACAGTGAATATTATTATTTTACAATAAGTAAAATATTATTCGTTTTTTACTTTAATTGTAGGTATAACTCATACTGAAATAGTTCAACTTGGTTTTATTCGAACTCTTGCTCAATTTTTTATTGATGCTAAAACTCGAGATGGAAGTGGAATTAACACTGAAGATTTTAAAAAAGAACATACTATCGATGAACTTTATCAATTAGCTCATCCTGATTGGACGGAAGACAAAGTAAAACTATATTCTTATCCATTGAAAAGTATTATTGATAAGATTCAAGTGAGAGATGCTCTCGTTGATTTAAATCCATCAACAAAAGATTTACCATCAGCTCATTTTGATAGTGAATCATTTAATGAAAGCAATCATCGAATAATGAGATTGAGAAAGAAAGGTAGCTATTTTTGATTAAATATAATTAATCATTTTTCTTTGTAGTTATCGAAGATGCAAGTGATCCAAATAATGATTTAGATGCAGCACGTGGAAAAATTGGAGATTTACTTCATACACTTCAAGATTTTTATTCTCATTCAAATTGGGTTGAAATGGGTAAAACAGAAATAAATCCTCATATTGGTATTCAAGAAAA